GCCTTCATTGGCTGCCTAGCCACAGCCAGCCCTATATAAGGGGCTGCTGCGGCTGGGATTAGTTGCTCAGATCTGAAGTCACTAATAAAGAGCTGTTGTTGCTATCTGAGTCTTGCCTCTGTTCTAGAACCATCCTCCCAGATCTAACACTGGTGACGAGGATGGGATGCGGAGGCAATGAAGTCTATTGATTTGAGCTAGCTGAAGGAGCACGTGGCTGACAGAGCGCAACGACAGCAACAAGGCCAGCAGCACTATACCACCCGCACCGTTCGATCCAGCTAGCAAAGACTGGGACTTATATATGGACAGATTTCAAATGTTCCTGGAGTCCAACAACCTCAAAGATACCACGCCTAGCAAGAAACGAGCTGTTTTTCTAACCCATTGTGAGCCAGCCGTTTTTAAGATGGCTAAAGCCTCAGCGAAGCCAGCTGAGGTTAAAACCATGGATTGGGACACCCTTGCTCCCATCCTGCTCAACCATTATGCCCCAGCCATGCCAACTCTCATTCACAGACACGAGTTCTACCAGAGGGACCAGCGTGAAGGTGAGAGTATTGGGGATTTTGTGGCAGACCTGAGGAACCTGGGTGGTTTATGTGGCTTTGCCAACCTCAAAGAAGCCATGAGAGACCGCATCATCCTTGGCCTCAGAGACCCAAACGTCCAGAGCAAGATCATGGCCAAGGGAGACATCTCGCTTGCAGATGCCATAGCAGATGCCACCGCAGCTGAAGCCACTCGTAAATCAGCAGCACGAATGCGTCGAACCAGCAGAACCAACTGCCAACCCACCAACGATGCTGGGAAACCTTCAGACAAGTACACATCGACCACCCATCATGAAGATGTCGAGTCATCCTCAGACAGTGAGGAAGAAGAAGTCCACAGGCTCCGGTCAGAATGTGAGCAACGGGACCAGTGGGGTCGTAAACCCAACTACCAATGCGCTGGATGCGGGGGAAACCATCCCCGATCCGAATGCAGATTCTTAGATGCCATGTGTCATTTTTGCGAGAAACGAGGGCACATTGCGAAGGTATGCAGAAACAAGAGAAATTTCAGCCCCAGACGGAGAGGGAGCAGCCCAAAGAGGTATGATGGCAACTCCACCACACAGAGGGACCACCCTAGCAACAAGTGGAACTAAGGAAGTGTTTAAGCCGTTTAAAAACAGACAAACGGAACTTTTTTCACAAAAAGGGTGCATTTTGTGGGGAGAGGCCACACCTTCTTAATAACTGTTGATGCCTACTCAAACTGGCTTGAGGTCAATAAAATGAAAGCAACCACTACTGAGGCGGTCAAAAAACTGAACAGACTCTTCACCACACACGGGTTACCAGATGTCCTAGTCTCTGACAATGGTCCTCAATTTACTGCCTTAGCCGTTGAACAGTATTTACGGGAACGGGGCATCCGACACGCACTAACATCGCCGGCTCATCCTGCGGTGAATGGTAGGGCTGAACGAATGGTTCAGTTTACAAAGAAAACCCTGCAGAAAATGGATCAAGGCAACATCCACAGCAAAGTCACTAGAATGCTGCTCCTGCAACACATCACACCAAACAGCACGACCCACAAGTGCCCAGCTGAACTCCTGATGGCCAGAAAACTCAGATCGCCTCTAGATCGTTTGCACCCTGCCTACACCCCGAAAAAGCCCCTGGGTTCCAGCAGCAAGCACCGTGTTTTCAAGGTAGGAGACCTTGTTTTCACAAAAAAATTTCTGGGGATCCCCTTTGGATTCCTGCCCAGGTAACTCAAGGTATGGGCCCCCACTACTACTGTCTACTCACCACTGATGGCAGACCATGGAAACGCCATATTGACCAACTGTGCTCCAGACTAACCACATCTTCCAACCCTGACCCTAACTTTGACACTAGGGGGGAGGGGAAGCAGTGAACTCAGAATTAGAACCAACACCTGTCTATTCCGAGCTATCACTGAGATCACCGCACCATGGTTGGCAACACTCACCAGCTGCAGCTGAGACTGGACAGTCAAACGCTTCGCCAAGAAGCAGAAGCCAGGCAGGTTCAGCGAGCCCCGGGACCCATGGCAATAACAGCGAGGCTGAGGACTCCATCACCCCGGGAGCACCAAAGGAGAGCCCTAACCATGACACCGGTTCACCATTCCTGTTTGATCCAGCAAGCAGTCCATCTGAACCCGGGTTGGAACAATCAATGAAACCGTCGGTCCACTAAAGAGAGAAGACGGCAAGGAAGTAACAGGCAACAGAGAGAAAGCAGAACTGCTTAACTCATTCTTGGTGTTCTGGACTAGCAGGCTCGAAGCCTGCAAATCTGATTGGCCCGCTGAAAGCCGATCGTGATTGGTTGCCATAGACTGATGCGATTGGCCAGTAAACGGGCTGCCGCGATTGGCTCTGCCAAGAGCGGCAAACTCAAATCGCCTTCATTGGCTGCCTAGCCGCAGCCAGCCCTATATAAGGGGCTGCTGCGGCTAGGGCTAGTTGCTCAGATTTGAAGTCACAAATAAAGAGTTTTAGTTACTATCTGAGTCTTGCCTTGAACCGTTCTTGAACCGTCCTCCCAGATATAACACTAAGCTTCCTGAAGACACCTTGAATTGAGTGGGTGGCCATATCAGTTTTCTTAAATGAAAATCAATAAGCTTTGGAGATTTGCACAACTGAATTTGCACAATACCATCTGAATAGTTATCTGCAGTCTACCTTGGGGGACTGCCTACTATGAAGATGGATGACTGGCCATGACAGTCATTCCCACAGTTTTGAGACAAGATGGATGGGATTATTTTGTCTCCTCCCATATCCTTTTTTTAATTTCACAAGATGTCTCCAGATGCTGAAGACTATGTTCGCAGTACCAGTTGATGACAAACTTGTAATCATTGGTGTCTCTCCATTTCCCCACTTGCCTGCTAGGTTTAACACACTTTCACAATAGCACTAGACCCTGTTTTGGGATTAGCTAGAGGTGTTAGCTAGAGCAATGCTCAGGAACTTGCTTGTTGGATGAATATGTTAAACAGGTTGATGGGCATTCAAACAATCCATCCAAGCACCTACCTAAATGCATACAAGCACACCCTACCTCATTAGGATGAAGTCTCTGAGCACATGAATGTTTGGGAACTCTGTTATGGAACATTCTGAATTTTGTATATCATCTTTAGTTATTTAAAGGAGGAAGAGGAGGGAGGGAGGGAGGGAGGAGAAAGAAAAAGAGAAAGAGAGAAAGAGGGAAAGAAAGAGAGAAAGAGGGAAAGGGAAAGAGAGAGAGAAAAAAGTGTGTGTGAGAGAGACAGAGAAATAAAGGAGGGTGGGGGAACAAAGAGAGAGAGAAAGAGAGAGAAAATGAGAAAAAGAAAGAGAGAGAGAAAGAGAGAGAGAAAAAGGTAAAGAAGGAAGGAGAGAGGGAAGGAAGGAAAGGAAGGAAGGGGGAAAGGATAGAAGGAAGGGAAGGAGGGAGGGAGAGAGGGAGGAAGGAAGAAAGGAAGGAAGGAAGGAAGGAAGGAAGGAAGGAAGGAAGGAAGGAAGGAAGGAAGAAGGAATGAAAGAAAGAAAGCCACCCCATTTCTCAGGAAGTCCTGGAACTAAATGTATTCAGAGTTGGCAAATAAATGTATTTTATGGAGGAAGAAGCTATGACTATTTTCTTGCAAAAAATATTCCTATCATTGGAATCTTCCAGTTTCCTCCAGACCTAAAATATTCTACATCTTCTCCACTCAAAATGCAATTTTGATGTGATATATGAATTCCAACGGGGCCACAAACATTTCCAAGAAGTGAGCTTTGGAGTATCAGATAATCCAGACCTGATTTATTTCCCTGCAATTCCACCACCCCCAAAACTTTGTTTCACCCCCTTCAATAAATGACACAACTTCCCTCTCTCTGTAGGGTAATCCCATGTTTTCTTTTGACAAATGAGGATGTGGCTTTTATCCACAAGGAACCACAACATCCTTGAGCCTTTCCAGTGGTGGGAATGTCCACCTGGTATATTTCTTCTTTCTTGCAATATTTGGGAAGGAGCACTTAGATCTAATAAGAAATACATAAATCCAGGTCCAATGTTTGCAACAGCAAGAATATGTATAGTTCTAAGTTGAATATTTACTCCAACATGATTTGGAGTCCACAAACTGATCGGTTTGATTGTTATAATCACAGGTGTGGAAGTTTATTGGGGATTATTTGGGGTTTTCATTTCTCTAAGCCAGAGGTGTCAAACTGTTGACCTGTGGACCAGATTCATCGGATGCAGGCCATACACACCCCAGGTCCTTGAATGGGAAAAGCACTGCAAAATCTCATGTGACAACAACTTGATGCGGCAAATTTGACACACATGTCTGGAGACACCTTGATTGAGTCTGGTGGCCATATCAATTTTATTAAATAAATGAAAATCAATAAGTTCTGGAAATTTGCACTACTGCACTTGCACAATGCCATCTGAATAACTATCTGCAGTTACTTTGGGGGGGACTGCCTAAAGAGTAAGAGAAAGAGAGAAAGGGGGAGAGAAAGAACAAGAGGAAGAGAAAGAGGGAAAGAAAAAGAAAAAGGGAAAGAGGAAAGAGGAAAAGAGGGAAAGAGGGAAAGAAGGAAAGAGGGAAAGAGGGAAAGAGGGAAAGAGGGAAAGAGGGAAAGAGGGAAAGAGGGAAAGAAATAAAGAAATAAAGAAACAAAGAAAGAAGGAAGGAAAAAAAGAAGGGAAGGAAAAAAGAAAGAAAGAAAGAAAGAAAGAAAGAAAGAAAGAAAGAAAGAAAGAAAGAAAGAAAGAAAGAAAGAAAGAAAGAAAACACAGAACTTCTCAGCCTTAGGGAGTTTTTCCCAGTGGTGGGCATCTTCACCTGGTATATTCTTTCTTACAATATTCTGGAATTTGATTCACTTTCCACTTGATACCAATGTAGGTTGTGTCCACATGAAATGTGGCTTGGTTTGGGACAGCTGCTCCAACTCTGTATCTTAATTCCTCAGCTGAGATTCATTTCCCCTTCACAGAACTGCTCCGTCTTAAGAGAGTTTTGTACAGGTAACAGGTGTCTTTGTGTTGCTGTGGATCTCCAGCCCCACATAAATAGACTACGGCATCTTTCATCTTCACTTTTACGATGTTTAAATGACTCTCCTTCTTCTGCCTGTCAAAAGAGGCACTGACGTGTTCGTGCTTCTTTGGGCTCCCCAATGTAACTGTTAGGAAAAGCTCAGGTGCTCCTCTTGGATATTGCCTGTACCAGTGCATGCTATAGACATCATTGGATGTGAACTGATAGGTGATGGTGGAGCCCTCTCCTTCTTTGGTGACTTTCACAGGCTTCTGATCCACTCGGTCCTGGCATTGGACACCTGGAAGAGAAAGACATGGGGGTGATTAAATTGATAAGGAGGAATCTTTGAACCATTTTGCTGCAATTTGCAGATGAAAGTCTGTAGAGATTCTCAGTCCTTCAGGTCATGGTTGTCCCAAAGGTTCTTTTTCAGGAGGCAACTGGACTTTCTTTGAAGAATTTGGGATGCACATTTTTTGAATGGTGTGGGAGTAAGAATGGATTTCCAGAGGAAAAATAATTGCAGACTACAGGAACCAGCAGCACCACTCAGGTGACCCTGGGGACACAGATAAACCTCCAAGTGCTTCAATGACTGTCTAAAAAGGATGCAAATGACCAGCTGTCTTCAAGGAATATAAATCCTCCTATTCCTCACCATCCTGTCAGAGCTAAAGAAGCTTCTTGGATGAGAAGTGAAATGTCTTCAAAAGAAAAGAACAAAAACAAATTTCCTCCTGAAAAAGCAGCTTTGGAGCAATTTGCAGCTGACCTAGAAAGGAATCCATATGGAGAGAACACATGTAAGCTGAAAAATAAGCATTTCTTTGTCTATGGAGATTCTCAGTCGTTCAGGTCGTGTTTGTCCCAAAGGTTCTTTTTCCAAAAGTCAACTGGATTTTCTTTTGTTTGTTTTTTTCCCTTTATTTATTCTTTTTACTCCTCATCAGTCAGTTAGAAGAAGCTTTTTGAAAACAAATGTTTTCAAGGGAAAACAAGTAAAGAAAGTTCAGTTGCCATTTGGAAAAATATGTTTGGGAGAAGCTGTGACTCAAGATGTTCTTCTGATCTTCCTACAAAGAAGAAAGGGAGCTCAATTTCTTTTTGTGGGTTGTCCTCCACTTTGGTGAACACCAGCAGTTGTCTTTCTAGCACTGTGCTCCATGCACAGAAGTAGACAGCTGAATCCTTAAGTTGGATATTCTTCAGATATAAAGATGTAGTCTTCTTATTTGTGTCCAGAGTCATTTCAAAATTATCATTTCCTTCAGTCTCTAATGTAATCGGTAATATCATGAATTCTGGCTGGCCTCCTGGATATTGCTTGTACCACTGAAGACTATATTCTCTTTCCTGATAGGAGCAGTTAAACAGGATGGAGTCCCCTTCTTCAATTGAAAGAAATTCTGTACTTGGGTAACTTTAGCTTAATCTGATAGAGCTACAACAGAAGATGAATATTTAAAAAGGAAATGGGTGGATAAATGGATGGAAGGAAATAAGGGAGGAAGGGAAGATGGGAATGACATTCCACCAATAAGGTTTGAAAAAGAGCAATTGTCATTCAAAATTTGCAATCTTACCTCCATACTCTTAACTATTTAAATAAATGAATTTTCTGCTTGATGTTTTGCTGGTTTTCTTTTTATGGCTTTTGAAATATTCATCTCCAAAGCTGAAGTTTTGAGAAGACCTCGCTTCAAGAAACAAATGTAAGCCTGAACATTATTTCAATCAATAAATGAAAAAAAATATGATAAAAAGGATACCTGTGGAGATGGCCATTAGCAAGACAATGATCCTGCTCCCCAGATCGCTCATTCTTCTTCTTTTCTCTGCAACATGCAGGGCAACTCTGCCACCAGAAAACACAGGAAAGTAAAATCCCAACCACAGCCTTGTGGGTGGCTTTGTGCTCAGACCTTCTGGGGATTGAAGATCTGCTCTGCTTTGATTCACATAGATCAAAGGAGTAACATAACACAAACCCAGAATATATAAACTTTGTCTTAACATGTGAACAAACAGAATAAACCAGGTTCTGCTATTTTCTAGTTTGAAAAAATCATAATGCAGAATATGTGTTCCTGCCATGCAAGGGAATGGAGATAATTATTCAATAACAAATGCAGAAACCTCTCATGATGCATCCAATGAGAATCTCTTCTAGAGTGTTTTCTCTCAGCCTTACTGATCTTTCCCAACAAAAACTTCTGAAAAAAGGGATTCTTGGAATTTGAGCAAGGATTCTGGGTTTCTTCCTGGAATTCTAGCCATGCAGGTTATTCCATATGTGGGCATCCATATTTGGAGATTATTAGGTTCATCTGCAAAGTTATTATAGTCATGTTCTAGAGGATATTGGGAATGACAATGGGACTCTTGATCACAAAAGTTGGAAGCTGTTATTCAGGGATCTAGAGGAAAGGCTGACTCTCCATTAGACCTTACCAGAAGGCAGCAAGTGAATCAGAGACCCCACAAAATCACAGGAGAGTTTACATCCTTCATCTAACCCTGTAATGCTATGACACATGTTTGCAACATTTTGGTTCCCACAAGATACAGGTCTACTCCAAAATATTAAACATGGAAGGAGAGGACATGATCTTCATTTCTCCTTTTCTCCTTCCAGCCATCACCTGTAGGGCAGCTGTTGAATACCCTGAAATGCATTTCTCCAACCTTGCTGGCATTGGGAAACTGTTCAGCATCAGGCTGGTTTGCTACTTGGGAGGGAAACCACAAGGAGATCTCTAAGTTCTAGGTTGTATTAGGAAGTAGAACAAAAATCCTGAGAATGAAACAAAATACTTCCCTAACTTTGCAAAGAAAATTGGAGCCTGATAACCCTTCAGCACCAGACGTCAAGCTCAACTATTATTAGCTTACCTTATTCATTTGATCAGATTGTGGGAAAGGAAAACTGCAAGCCTTCTTCCCTTGCATCTCAGAATGCCAAGAAGATATATCTCTGCTGGAACATAATGCTCTCCATCTTTCTGGCACCAGATATTAGGATTGTTTTTTTCTAGGAACCGAGAAATGAAATCATGACTCAAACATTGCTTGAGGTTTATGAACTGTCCTATCAGAAAGAAGTCTCCGAGATCCAGAAGAATCAAGAGGAGACCAAAGTGCCCCATAAAAACTCTTACACTGTGCTAGAGATAAGTTATCGTAGAAAAACAGAGTTGGAAGGGACCTTGGAGATCATCTAGTCCAATTCCCTGCTCGAGCAGGAGATCTATCTAGGATCAAACTCACAGCCTCTCGATTGTGAGGCAAGAGCTCCACCTCTAGTTCCTTGAGGATGGGCTCCAGCAAGAGTACGAAAACTCAGAAGACAAAACTTCTGACCCCAGTGACCAACACCTACAGCAAGGGTCTTCAAACTTGGCAAGTCTAAGACTTGTGGACTTCAATTCCCAGAATTCCTGAGCTAACATGACTGGAGGAAGAATTCTGGAAGTTGAAGTCCACAAGTCTTAAAGCTGTCAAGTTCGAAGACCCCTGCCTTACAGCATCCCCAACTGAGAGATCTTTACTAGAATCTGGTTGTGGTTCTTTTGCCCTCTTGTGAGGAGAATGAAGCATGTTTAAGATGGAAAAAAAACCACATTCATAAAAATTGGCCTGTAATCCCTAACATTTCCTACTATAATGGTTTTTGGGAAGAATCATGTGACTGTAAGGTTCATCTTCACATCCAGATGAACACCACAGGAAACATGCCCTGAAAACCACATTTTATTTCCAGTCCTCATACCACTGTTATCTCATCCCTAATCCATAGCAGAGAAGTACATTTTTAAAGTCATCTTTAGCTATAATATAAGGGACTCAGTGGCTCAGTAGCTAAGATGCTGAGCTTTTCAATCAGAAAGGTTGGCAGTTTAGAGGTTCGAATCTCTAGCACCATGTAATGAAGTGATCTCCCGTTACTTGTCCCAGCTTCTGCCAACCTGATAGTTCGAAAGCATGTAAAAATGTAAGTAGAAAAATAGGGACCATTTTGGTGGGAAGGTAACAGTGTTCCATGTGCCTTCAGCATTGAGTCATGCTGTCCACATGACCATGGAGACATCTTCAGACAGCACTGGCTCTTCAGCTTTGTAACAGAGATGAGCACTGCCCCCTAGAGCCAGAAACATCTAGCAAGTAGTAATAATGAAGGGGTGGGGTTTTTTTCTTTCTTCCTGAACCATTTTGGTCACTTATTACTAGTGGGATTGATGATGTGGTTGTGAGTATCCAGAGTATCCAGATATCCAGATCTTTTGATGCAGTTTAGGCTTTTGTGTGTATTCTTCTTCTGCAAGGACTTTTTGGCCGGTACAACAGGAGAGAGCAGATGTTATAGAACTTCTGCCTCTTTAACTTCCAAAATGCTTGTCACATTTAATAGACATTCCCTTGGAAGGAATAGACCTCATCTTCTATATATATAAAAGCAAAATACCACTCACACATCATCACTAAATCTCGAGAACCTTAAAGCCTACAAACTTGAAATTTGGCACAAACTTGGCTTCTAGTGCTCACTAAGAAAGGATTTTTCGAAATGATATCAGAGCATTAGCATTTCATATATTCATTAGCATTTTATATATTAACACACTCTGATGCTAAGGAGTTCTACTCCTCCTCTACTCCTGAAAAGAAATCTGTTCCAAATGCAAAACACAAGCAGAGGAGTTCTAGTTCCAGTTTCAGAGCACCAAGCAGCTTTATTACAGAACACTTGAGCTAAGCCATGCCCAGGCTCCTTGCTGTCTCCTTCTTGCTCACACAGGAAATACTGTTTCAGTTTCCAAACAGCCTTCAACTCTCTCTCACACTGACAGGACACTAGCCAGATGAATACTGATGAATCCTGGTAGGCAGAGCCAGAATTTATTTCTCCTTATTTTCTCCCCAATAACTAAGCCCTGTCACATAGTTTCATAGTGAAGCACGGGTATCCAGCTAGTAATAAATAAATAGTTGTACAGATACAGATAATCAGAGTTGGAAGGGACCGTGTATGTCATCTAGCCCAACCCCCTACCCAAGCGGGAGACCCTACACCATTGCTGACAAATGGCAGTCCAATCTCTTCTTGAAAGTCTCAACTGATGCCGCTCCCACAACTTCCGAGGGCAAGCTGTTCCATTGATTGATTGTTCTCACTGTCAGATATTGGAAGCCTGTGATCATGTCTCCCCTGGTCCTTCTCTTAGACTAGCTAAGCCCAGTTTCTGCAACCTTTCATTGTATGTTTTAGCCTCCAGTCCCCTAATCATCCTAGTTGCTCTT